CGCGCGCCCCTCCCGCCCCTGGGTCTACCGGCGCGCGCGCTGCCGCCGCCAACGCCGTCGTCGTGGGGTGCAGCTGGCCGCCCGACTTGCTCACGACGAGGGTTGCGGCGGCGGCAACCGTGTTGTTGTCACGGCTAGGCCCATGTCGCTCGTGGGCGCCACCAGGTCCGCGTTCGCAGAGAATGGCGCGCGAGGAGCCAGGCCGTGTGGTTGCTCACTAAAACATGCTACTTAATGTCTGTGATAAGCTATCATTCGTCGATTAGAGTTTGCTCGTGTGGAAGGATTGGATGGCTGTGAAGTTGTATCTGTATTTCATCTTTTTTTAATGATTCAGTTTTTCATTTTTAGCCGTTGGTCATTTCTCGTTGTGTAATGTAGCTTTTTGAAAAAGGAATATGACTAATCTTATTTACCAGTCAAATGTGAATAAATAACGTAAGAAGAAAGATCTGGAAATTTATTATTTTTAATTGTATAAAGAAATGTACTAAAATGATGTAATTTCACTACAAAAACTCGTGAAAATGAATTCAATAAAACATTTTGTTTTTCGTCGACTCCAATCGTATAAAAACCGTTCTGCAATCTATTAATTTTCTAGAGGAGCAGTAGGAGTAGTACTGTTTGCCCAGTCTGCTTGCTTCGCGGCCGTTTTCTCGACTGTCGCTCAATAGACCTTCGGCGCTCGTAAACTCCGAAATTCGCTTTGCTCGCTCAACGCCCGCCTCATTCGCCTCCCTGGAGTCCATCTTGAAGCGGGCGCTCACGGACCTTTCTCAGAGGATTCGGTCCTTGTGATACGAGCGCCCTGGTGATCGAATGAGTGCAAATAGACACTGAAACTTTGAAGCGTCATACCAAAATGTAACGGATCATAACCATTCTGACCATGATATTGTCCTGCCATAAGAGGTTTTTTTGAGTCCAGTGAATTATGTTCAAAAACTGAGAAAAATATGCCACTAAAAAGTAAAGCAATATTTTGCGTTAGAAAACAGCTGATCCTCATAGCACCTCTTAGTGATTGTGCAACAGAGATTCGTGAAGTTCGATACTTCAGTTTGAGGAAATCTATGTTTTTTGTTATTTTTTTTTAGGAAAATAACATTTTGCAATGGAATTCTTTTAATGGTTATTTTTAATTATTGTATCGAAAGTAATATTTGGTGGAGCAGTTTTAATCAAAATTAATATTTTTTAGAGTTTTGAAGTGTATTATCGTGTGCTATGTGAGTGGTCATTTCCACATATGAGAGGGTAATTGTGCTTCATTAGCAATCGTTGGCTGTATTACATGAAATAGATGTCTGCACCTGGAAATCGTTTTCTGTTGGTGTACTATGCGTTGCATTGTAATGCATCTTCGCTCCCGTTTCTATTCCATTATCCAAAGCTGATAAAGCCTGGAAGCTAAATATAGTATTTTCAACTGAATTCTGTCTTCCTGCGTGTTGTTGAAGTTCTGAGTTAATCTATTTTAAACTATGGATTTTCGGAAAAAGGACTTCATTTTCGTTTCTGTGTTATAATTAAGAAATAACACGTGTCTAGAATAATTTGAATCGAATGATTTATATCGGAAATAGCATGTTGTAGCTATGTTGTTTTTCATTTTACTCGTCAGGTCGACAAAAACATTATAATAGATAAGGATCCAAGACATATCAACTAAAAGCTTTTTTTACAATGTATTTAATATTATAAACAATTAACCAATCATGTTTCGTGAATCTTTTCCCTACTTCAGTGGTACTGCGGAGAAGAAAATTATGGAATCGAATTTAATTAACGTAAGAATTTAAATTAATTTAAATATACAAATAGTAATAATAAAATACTAAAATTAAACAATTTAAAATCTGTAAAAATTGGATACATAACCAATAATTAGAATTTAACCAAAAACATTGTACTTCGCGTTTTGTAAAGCTTTTAGAAAGTTATATCTATTTTTTTTTCAATAGTTTCATTCAAAATATAAAAATGGCCTTATTATAACACACTTGACAATATGAAATAGTGATGTATTTGTTGTATATCCTATGTGCAGTCCCTTTACTTCCAAAGCGATTTTGCGTAGAGAGGCTTCGCTTTCCCCGGCAATCAGTAACGGTGAATGTTCATTAATACTTTCCCGCTTCAGTCGCACTGTGCAAAACATTGATGCTACTCGCGGGATTGAAACCTTTGCTCGTACCTACGAGGCGCGGAGCGGGTCCCACCGCAGCGGAGTGCTACTTAGATGGGCAACTTGCAATCGAGATAAATGCACTGGAAATGCGCGATGAAACGCCGATACTGTCGTCTTTCGTCTGCCAAAACGCGTGCGTGGGCTGCGCTGCCATCGCGCTCCAATTTCAGCGTTGCCGTTCGTGTTTACTCGGCGCCTTATCAGCGGCGCAAGAGAGCTCTCGTTTCCGTCGCCCCCGCCCCCGCCCCCGGCGCCGGTGCAGCGGCGGCGGCGGCGGCGGCGGCGACGGCCTTGCGCGCCATCGCTGCAAGGAACTCGCTCTCTCTCAGCCGCCGAGCCGGGCCGCGTCGAGTCGACGCTGCAGTAATTTACAGCCGTCTGTTCTCGGGCGATTGCGCGGCGCGGGTGTGATGGATCGGGTGGGAGCGGATGGCGTCGCCGCCTCCTCCGCCCCCGCCGCCCCAACAGTGTCAAACCCTCTTCTTGAAAATGCACCGACATGTTGGCGCGTGCAGGAATGTGTTGGGCGAGATTTGCTGCTTGCGGAAGGGATTGATTGTGACATTTTCTTCTTTGCCCATCAGAGTTTGGTCGTGCCTCAAATGTGGTTTTGCGTTCTGTTGAGGTGAGACCAGACGATTAGGAAAGGGAAGAGTTAAAAAAGGGCGGAAGGCAAAACCATTCACTTGATGCTGAGATTAGTATCCGAACGCCTGCGAAGACACTAATGATAGACACTGTTTTGAGGGTAGAACACTTACGAATGAAATAAATAAGTCGAAAAAGTTGGCGCCATCGAGACCCACGTTTAGTAGAATGTATTGTAAGTGATTTACTGCTTGCGACGAGCTAAACAATGGTAACATCTAATAATTTTTTTCAAGTAAATGTGTTCCGGTTATAATTTTGGTTTCAAAACTGCTTGGAATATAATGAGAAGAAAAAGATAAAATGCCACAAAATCCTATTGATTCTAGCACTATCTCACTATCTCATTATGGTAGTGACAGTAGTGTTATGCGAAAAGACTCATAGTCGTCATTTTCAAAATACATTTTCATTTGTGAAAATGTCGCGTTTGTTATTTTGTTCTGTGAAAGACAATGCTGTTCTTGAAAATAAAAGCACACATTATTACGACATTTCGATATTTGACCACTTTCATGCAAACACAAAATTAATCTCAGATACTTCTCGCGTGGTATCATGATTGTTTGACATCGCCGTGTTGAGTGCTGGCACACGTGCTGCCTTGCGAGTTGAGTACCTAATCTATAATTCAGGTCCGAAACTCGATTCTTCCCTCTCCCGGCCTCTTCCGTTGGCGCACCGGACTTCACTGCAGCCTTAGCTTGTAATCGGTGCCCCAGGAGCTGTCAAATGGCAATAACGTCTCGAAGGAGACTGTCGGGCCACAAGCTTAAAAGCGCTGGAATTTCGCCCTGCGGACAGTTGGCACTTGGAGTATTCGACTCCATTTGCGTTTCGTGAGCTCTCTTTCTCTCTTCCAACTAGTTTCCGTTTCCAACTAGTTTCCGTTTCTGAACATTTCTACCAGCTTCGATCTTCTACTGTCCTAGCGATACTTTCGATTCTTACATTGTCGATGTATTGATTTTCGATACTCTAGTAGTGTGTCTCAACCATTCGACCAAAACATTGTAACCCCTCCCCCCCAAATTCGTCTCTGCATCCGCCTTTGGGCAACTTCACCAGTTTCTCGGCGTGTCGAAGCCCACCTGCACCCCCACCCCCACGGTCGCACGTGCGCGCGCTTTCGGCCCGGTCGCCCGGTCAGCGGCCTCAGGTCGCGCCCCTTCCGCGCCGCACAGGTCGTCCCCTCCCCCGTCCTTCCGCCCTCCACCCGCCCTCCACACGCGCTCTCTAAGAATAGTTGGATTACATGTATGCATACTTTGAAAACTAAAATACCGTCATGCTGAAGAATGAAATACATATCAACAAATGTAGTACTGTACGTGAAATCTCCCTTGTTCTTTAATAGAATATGTTCTCAATTCATCCCAAGTGAAACTGACAAAAAAATTAAAATCAAGAAAATATTCCTTATAATAATAAACAATGGGACGAGGTTTTTTAATGCTGTATGAATAAATACGCTACAAGCGAAAACGCTAATATGAAAACAGCATTTTATGAGTGACTTTCAGATGATTGTAAACGTTATTGAAGAATAAAGTTCAATGACTTCATGTTATCGTGTGACACCTTAATATTAGTGTGATCGGATGCAATTTTCGATCAATTTTATACTATTATCTCTGTTCCATTTTCGTAACTATCGGCTGTAAAATTTTTCTTCGGGGAAATTTATTCCCTTTTATCTCAGCGTGACCCAGAAATAGCTTATGGAAAATCCTTCGTTATCGCCGTCGACAATAAGAGATAACGTACTCAGTCTGTATGAAGCAGACTGTTTTTAGGTTTCTTGATTTTTGATTCTCTGTTTACTCGTGTGCCAATCGCTTGTTTTCAGTTCTCTTCTTCCTGCGACTTTGACGGACAGACGTATCGGCTGACAGGTGCCAGTCCATTTCTCGTCGAGCTTTGTCGTCAGTCGCTTCGCCATCGATTTGATTCCCCGTTGGCACTATAGCTACTACTCGTATTGCTCCAATGCCACTTTTCCTGACTAAAATTGTATGATCCTACTTGTCGCTCAATGAAGAAGGTGTAAGCATAATAGTATACAACAGCTTCCAAAGTTCACGCATTGCTTTCCCCGTCGATGATCATGAAGAGTTTGCGGTTGCCGAAAAACTGTGACAAAGAATCACCTGCGAGGTGATCGGACGGTGTTCGGTTTGAATGCTAATAAATCGCCTAACATAACGTATCTTCATATTATTTTCTTGTGAGTCAGGAGCTTCCAGTTTAAAAACATTTTGGTCAGGAAATAAATGGTCTTACATCTCTCCCACAGGAGATCCCGAAAAATCAGTTGTAAACTTCACTTACGAATGTTTCTCGTCAAAGGTCGCGAGCCATTTGTGCGTGCGGGTGAGTGAAGACCATGTGAAGGGGCAGAAGTTGCCGTTTCCTCGAGCGGGCGAGTGGCTGCGGTGGCGAGGCCCTGTGTCCAACCGGAGCCGTCGCGGAGGAGAGCGGGCGCGCGGCCACG